GGGAGCAGGATACTTGCAGAGAAGTACCTTCTGAGCCAAGTGGGCTCCTCCTGGAGAGTCAGCGAGAACATCCTCTGATTAACAGCTACTTCTTTATTGATTCTGACCAGTGTTTAAAAATCTTTGAGTAGTAAAGAAAGGACCAATGTTATGACTTCCAAGTTTTTGCATATACTCTGTAGCTGTTAGGGTCAGGTAAAGACAGCTCTGGGAGCCCACAGTTGGCACAGTTTGGAGGCCCATGATAGACACAGAGGTGCCAATCCTTGGTCAGGCATCAAAGGGATTTTCAGTACTATCCAATGAACACAATGGAATACTTAGCTCTGCTTGCTATTTTGTGAATATAAAATGCTGTATTTAAAGTTAGGGCATGGTCTTCGGATTAAATACGAGCTATCTATATATTCAAGATAGCCAGTTTTGGCTGTTATCTGAATATTACCACTGATCCTATTTACAGCAATTTTTTTTTTTTTTACATAGGTAAGTCTTTGACTATTTTTTTTTTTTTTCAGATATCACCATTCATGATCTGGCCTGCTTTTATGTTTTTGTGTGTTGCTGGTTTGGTTACTGATACTCAGTTTTACAGAGTTTATTTTACTGCAGTGTCAGAGGAAACCTGGAGACTGGGGAGGTGGCTCAGTGTAGCTCTATGAGCATGAGGACCTGAGTTTGAATTCGCAGTACCCAGCTGGGAACCTGAGCAAGGCTGCTTGGGCCTGTAACCCTGGCCTTGGAGTCGGGAGGTGTGGGTCCCAAGACTTTACCAGCAAGCTACTCACCTAAATAGTGAGATTTGGTTTACTGGGAGGCCCTGTCTCAAGACAGTGAGGTGGAGAGCCATAGCATAAGATGCCCAGTGTAGTCCTCTGGCCTCTGAATGGGTGTACATGAGTGTATGCCTGCCCCCAACCCTAACTGTGGGTAGCAGTGGAATCAGAGTCAAAGTGGATAGAAGTTGAAAGTAGGTTAATGCAGTTTAATTTTTTTTTTCAACATCATATGAATGTTAAAAGAAAAGCTCCTAGGTCAGTGGTTCTCATGATCCCTTTGGTGGTCAACCAATCCTTTCACAGGGGTCACCTAAGACCATTGGAAAACACATATATTCACATGACAATGCATGGCAGTAGCAAAATTACAGTGATGAAGTAACAACAAAAGTAAATTTATATTGAGGTCACCACAACGTGAGAAACTCGAGTAAAGGCTGAAAGCCACTGCCTTAGGTGTTTGCTTTAGAGCTTTTCTTGTCAATTTGCCTTCCAGAAAAAGTCAGAAAAATTCATTCAATGGATGAGAATATGTGTGTATCTTGCATTATGCTGATCATATAAAATATTTTTATGTATTTTTCAAGACCCTTTATTCCTGTACTAGAGACAGCACAGAGAAAAACCACACAGAAATTTTTATACTCTCATAATTGGGCAAAAGTTTGAAAAAAATTGCAGGACTAGAGGATATATTCAATGATAGAGTGCTTGCCTAGCATGTGGTGCCATGTTTGGTTCTCAACACCACAAAAACAAACACATGCAGGCAGAGATGGTGGTGAATATAAGATAAGGAGGGAGGAAGAGGAAGTTAGGGCTGGGCTGTGGTGGCGCATGCCTTTAATCCCAGCACTCTAGAGGCAGAGGCAGGTGGATCTCTGAGAGTTCAAGGTCAGCCTGGTCTACAGAGTGAGTGCCAGAACGGGCTCCACAGCAATACAAATAAACCCTGTCTCGAAAAGCCAAACAAACAAACAAACAAACAAACCAAAAGATGAAATTAGGGAGTGTTGTGTTAGATTACCTGAAACTTAAATGTCAGGGTCCAGCACAGGACTTCCCTAGGAGGCTCTTGTGTGAAGAATGGTGAGAAGACAGCCTTCCCTCCCTGGGCCACAGTCTGAGGACTAGTCTTGAGGAATTAATGTGTATGTCCACTTATCTGTTGAAATGGGATATTATCTCTAGTTTATCAATAGGAATGGAAACTCTGAAAGTAAATGGCCCAGATAAATAGAGCCAGCCCATGGGAGTCACATCTGTCCCTAAAATGCTCCCTCTTTCAGCATGGTGTCATGGCATCTCCAGTTGGGATTCACTTGTTCTGGTGGAGTCACTTATCTTAGGCAGACTTTATTTTCTGTCCTGGATTGTGTAGTCACTTGTTTCCTTGAGCTTCCTCTTTCTGCTTGTTAATTGAAAAGGTCTTAGGGTGTGTTATGTGGCCACCCACTGGGGTGTGTGTGTCAGTGTGAACTCTACTCCAGCAATCTAGGGCCATGTGAATTCCTGGTGTTACGTGTTTCAGTGATAGGAAGCTAATTTGGCTGGCCTGTGTGTGTTGGTGTTCTGGAGCACGTTGTAAATGCTCATACTTAGAAAGGAATGTGAAGTGAAGGGCAAAAATGCAAGGTCACTGCTATTGGATCTCACACAGAATAGCCTTACCTTGCATTTCCAATGATTGCTTATCATTATAAAAACTCACAGCCAGATGGACTAGAAACACTCATTGCAAGCAATTGAAAGGAGGTAGGCCTTCAAGAGGGCCCTAGGATTCCAGATGCTTAAAGACCCCTACATCTTTAAGACCCCTACATCTTTAAGACTTTTGTACTCTGGATAGTTTACTGTTTGAAGTGACACACTGCTCATCAATAGCTTCAAGTGATAGCCCCACTTCCGATTTCTAAAACAAAATGCCATTCATTTTTGCAAGATGACTTTCTTTTAACCGAAGACATTAATTATAATTTATTGAGCACTTCAGCTGTGAAATTTCTCCAGGTTATTTTTTGAAGTATAAAACACAAACAGAAAAAAAAATATATAAGTATGGTGTAAGTCACAGATGAACTCCCAAGGGCTTAAGAGATGGTTCAGTTGATAAACGTCTTGCCCTTCAAACACCAAGACTTGTGTGATTCCAGAACCCATGCTAAAAATAGCCCATAAACTGATAAATTTACAGATCAAAGATTCCTTAGGAAGAAAACAACACAGGTAGCTGGTGTTCAGACCAAAATTCAAATTCCCAGCATTGGAGGAAACCTTGCTCTCTGCCACTTGCCTCTCCTGTTCTCAATCCCAAGGGTACCAATCTCTGTCTTGAGTCTAGCAGCAGATTTTTCTTTTGCTTGTTTCAGCACTTTTATATTAATGCATCCATATTATCTGTCCTCTACTCTTCCCATTGCTTGTGATACTGACCCATATGCTAGAATGAAGTTGCAGGCTGTTCAATCCCATGACCATTTGGAGTTTCACTGTGTCCTTATTCCATAATATAAGGATGATAGAAAGTCTCCTGTGTTGACTTTTGCTAAACAAAACCACTGTTCTTGAGTCTTAACTTGGAAATGGAGTTGCTGGGTTGTGGTGTACGGACATGTTTAGTTTACACAGATGCCCTCAAATAGGATCAGATTATTAATGCACCAAATATTTCTACCAGCAACGTGAGGCCTTACGGATTTTCCTGCTGATGCTTTTTTGGGGGGTTGGAGCTGAATAAGTTCATTTTGTTTCATGTTTGTTCTGTGAAAAGAAATTGTTGTAGATACTTGGAAAGCTGAGTTCAGCCTTTGTATTCACTGTCATGTTAGTTTTCTTTTTCTCTGTATTACCTGCTTGCTATATGGAATATTTTCCATAAATATCTTGACAGCAAATGCAGGTGAATGTTTGTTTTTGCTACTTACAGCTATGCTGAAAAGCTATCTTAGAAGCCATCTAGCTCAGGCTTCTGTAGTGTGATTCTCACTGGTGTTGGTAATGATGGACAATACATGAGTACTTGAGGGAGGCTCCATCTGTCTGTTGCACGCTATTAAGTCTCTTCAAAACTGAGGTGATACCTGTTTCCTTTTGTCTTTCTCATAAGCATCATGCCATTTTACAGGCCAACGAAAATGTCCGACATGCCTGTAATAGAATTCAAACTCTTCAGGTCAAAGTTCACGGTTGCTTTGGTTGTTGTTCTGTAGGGTATCACTAGCTAGCCCTGGCTGGAATTCACTAGGCCTAGTGTCCTTGTGTTATGTTTTTGTTTAAAGAAAAAGTGAAAGGCCCAAGATGAGACATATTGACTAGTTTATTATAAGGCCCGGCAGAGTAGGGAGACTAAAGAGAGAAGAGAAACAGGGTAAATGGCTGACCTGACCGCCATGGCCAGTCGCCATAGAGAAAGCACGTAGATGGGAGAAGAGAGAGTGAAGTAGAGAGAGAGAGAGAGAGAGAGAGAGAGAGAGTAAAGAGGGTGAGCAGCAGGGAATTTGGGACCTTTAAAGGGAAGACTGCACATGCACACTGAGGTTCCATGCATGCCCAGAGTCCTCAGCAGGCCGTAATGCATGGCGGGTGACGTAGCACGTTTTCCTGTTCATGCCCTGACTGTTGTCAGGGGGCAGGGTCTGTCTCTTAAAGAGGTAGAGTTGATCAGCATTAAAGCCTGAAGGTTTCACTTTGAGCTCACAGAGATCTGCCTACCTCTGCTTCCCCAGTAATGGGGTTAAACTATTAGGTCCCATCCTGCTTCATGGCCTGTTTTTAAAACTGTAATTTTCAACTCCAGCAGGACCAGGTTCTTTGAGTGGTTTGCAGAGGGTTTTTTTGGGTGAAAAACCTGTGGTCAGTGGAGGGAAAACTTAGTGCAAAGCCCTTTGTTTGCTTTTCTCCTTTCAGGTGTGTGTTTCCCAATTTTCCTGTCATATGCACACTTCGACTTTTGCTTAAAAACCTTCAGATTGGATTTAAACACTACTTACAGAAAACTGAATATAACTCATCAGACTATTATGGATAAAATAAGAAATAGAGCAATTTTTTTTTAAATCAATGGCTAAGGGAAAATTCTTGTGTTTTGTTCTCTAAGATTTCTGAATGTCCAAGGTGATTTTAGTAACTGATGGACCTTTATAATGAAAATGAATTTTAACTGTAGTTAATAATTTAAGGCCCATGGATATTATTTAATCAATATGTTCTCTTTCTTTATAGGCAAGAAGAGACTGACAGGAGACTGAAAAATGTAAGCTCTATTTAATGGAGTGCTATAAATAGTTTTCCTTTATGTTCTATAAAGTCATAATGGATCTAAGAATATAATCTGTCATCTTTTCTAATTAAAATTTACCTAGAAACCAACCAGTTAGTCTAAGTGTATGTATTAGAATTCATCATTAGACTTTGTGTAGATCTGATTTTACCATATGAGAGATTAGGTTTCAGGGACTGGTTGTTATGTTTCTAATTTGTAAATATCAAGCTCAATTTAAAAGGTTTAGGGGAGCAAGCAGATTATCAAATTAAACGTTAAGTGATGACATTGCTGCTTAAGAACTTTAGGTAATTATTCAGTGTAGGCTGATATCATGTGCTTAATATGGTACAAGCGTAGAGGAGAATCTAAAAGTAACAGTTTCTAGATTTAAAATATTGGGCCGGGCATTGGTGGCATATGCCTTTAATCCCAGCACTCGGGAGGCAGAGGCAGGCCGATCTCTGTGAGTTCAAGGCCAACCTGGTCTTTAGTTCAAGTGCTAGGATAGGCTCCAAAGCTATACAGAGAAACCCTGTCTTGAAAAACCAAAAAAAAAAATTAAAATTTAACAATTAATTTTTTAAAAATATACTCATCAAGCAAGCTGAGAATCACTGACTTTAGGTGTTTATTAGGTAGTTTTGTTGGAAAAAATATTGACATAAAACTTTTTTCACTTGTGGGCCAGGGAGGCCCCTCAGTTGGGTAGAAGAGCTTGCTGTGCAAGCTTGGTGGTCTGAGTTAGATCCCTGGAAGCCACACTCGTAGGATGAGATGGGGGTCAGACAAGAGACTCACCCAGAAACTCACGGTCAGTTATACACAGTGGAAGCAACTAGAGAAGGCTCTGCCTCAAAACAAATGTAGAATGTGAGAATCAACTTCTGGAAGGTGTCCTCTTTCCTCTACACTTGTGAACCTGCATATTCTCTCTCTCTCTCTCTCTCTCTCCTACTGATCTTGTTCTTGTCATTTAGGTTTTGATAACTTTGTACTGGCTGGGAAGAAAAGCACAAAATAACCCTTACTATAATGGTCCCTACCTCAATCTGAAAGCTTTTGAGACTCTGTTGGGACAAGCCTTGACTAAGGTAAGGAACAAAGTCCATCCGTATGAGATGTCTACTGTGGCATAGGCTCCTACTTGATCATGAGCTTCCCTTCCACGCCTCAGGCTCTCTGCAGCAGACATGGAGGTTGTCTGTGCTCCTTTCTAGACAGGGCTAAGTCAGCAGGTTGGCTACTCATTTTCTGGCTTAATATGTGTCTTTCAGGGAGTGAGCTATCTATTCCAGAGCAGGTTCCAAGGTATAGAATTTTATGTCCTTAATTTTAGGTAATTTGGTGACACACACATTGCTTTTTATACACTATATAACTTAACTGTTTCTATACTCATTATGAGCTCAATCTGCAGTAAAAGGCATTTTTAGGGCTATTAACATTTATAGGAGTTACTCAGTTTCCTTATATTAATCTGTTCTTGTCATGGGTAATTATCTAGTGACCACATTCCAATATCACCATGCTGCTAGTGTTCATTGAGGAGTAATAAATATGAGGTGAAACTTGATAAAGTTTTTCTTGTTTCAAGACACCCTCAAGTAATATAAGTTATCTCCAACTTGCTATGTAGCCAGGGTGACTTTGAACTCCTGATCTTCCCTACCTCTACCTCCCAACTGCTGTGATTGAAGGCAAGAGTTATGATTGACTCCTGAGGAGATTTTAAAGTTAGATTCCTTGTTTTTTCATTTTTAGTTTTTTTTTGTGTAATCACACACACGTGCACACACACACACACACACACACACACACACACACACACACACACACACACACACACGAGAATGCTGGTGACTTTGGTGGCCAGAAGAGAGCATCAGGTGCCTTGGAGTTAGAGTTACAGGAGTTGTGAGCTGCCTGATGTGAGTGCTGAGAACTAGAGCAGCAAGTACTCTTAAATGCTTAGCTTAGAGCCCTTGTTTTTATATACATTTCTGTTCTTTCATATTCTGGAATCATTGTAACAGGCTTTTGAAGCTTGTGGGCTATTTGAGAAGGGCCAAGTGCTGAGTCCAAAACACAGTGATTTTGTTTTGCCAAAACAAAAACAAAAACAAAACAAAACAAAAAAAAAACCCAAAACCTTCATTCATAGGGCCCTATTGGAAAACTAATTTCTCTGTTTTCCTAATTCATTCAGAGCATTTATAAGAATTGGAAGAAACTAAATACTCAAAACTATAAAACACCATCTATATAGTAGTACTTGCTTTGTGAGATTGTTCTAATGATAAACAAGAAAGATATTTAGTGTTTCTGACTCATTGTGAGTACGAAATAAATGTTATGATTAGAGCAGAGGAATATTTGGACATGATAAAAATAATTGCCTTTGCCTATATCTACCCATATCTTTAAAAATACTTTGGCTGCATCTGGCCATGTGTACACTATAAAGGATTACACATTTTTTCCTTTGATTGTAAGGAATTGATAACTTTAGGTCTAGGGAGTTAGCTCAGTTGGTAAAATGCTCACTGTGCAAGCATGAGTGTGACCCCTGAATCCATCCAATAAAGTGGCGTATGGTGATACACACATGTAATCCCAGCATGCAGGAGGCAAGGACAGGATTCTGGGGCCTCACTGGCATTCTACTCTTCTGGGAAAACTACACAGCCTGTCCCAGTCTCAAGAAACACAAAACACCAAAAGAAAATACAAGATGGTGGTCTCTTGAAAAACAACCCTGGAGATTGACCTTTGACCTCTGCACACACATGCCTACATGTGCATAAACACTCACACACGTATGTGCATCCACGCATGTGCAGTGTATGTATACATAAACAGAAAAGAGTGAGTAGTTCTGTTCTCCCATGTTTTGGATGAATTGATTGAAGAAAGGAATAGAGAGATTGCCACACATCCATCCATCATGGGCTAGATGTTGGAGAACGGCTGCCTCATCCACCGGCAAGCATAATTGCCTGAGAATGTAAGGCAGATCAGTCCCTGCCATGGCAGAGGGTGAGGCTCTGGTGAGAGAATTGCAGGGAGTTGTGGGTACAAGGGAAACCTGCTTTCACAGCTATTTGAACTAAGGAACTATGCAGTTGGAAGTGACAGGGCACACGGGCTCGTGAACTAGTGCTCTTTATAGCCTTCCCTGCTTTTTATGGCAATGACTCAGGATGAGTAATCGCAGTGCAGAGTCTGTGTTCAGAATGTCTCTTTAAGGGCTGTTCAGAGTCATCCAAGTCAGGATGGTCAAAAGACTTTTTTTTTATAATAGTTAAGCCTGTGGTTGTGTCCTATTCTTCCATTAGCTGGTGGGAGTAGACACGAGAGGCACATGAACATATCATGTGTCTTGTATCAGTTCTTTTAAAATGAAAGGCGTTGTGTCAAGTGTACTTTCCCAGTTCACATTGCAGTGACAATGCCAATTGGAAATAGCAATGAAACCGTACAGAGTGGAAGCTGCTGTACTTGAGTCAGATTATAAGTTGGGAATGACTGACTTTGGGAGACTTGTCAGGGTGAAGTCCTCAAAAACCAAGCAGCAGGGCCAGACTTAGGTTATTTATAACAGGTCACATGGCTCCTTATCAGTCATGTTAACATTCATGATGTCAGAAGTCATATTGTGTTAACTCTGAGGTTTCAAAAAGTCTGTTCAAGAAACCTGCTAGAGCTAAAGATTTACTTGAAAATGTTACTCTTATTTTGAGACGTAGCCTGTTGACGCTGAGCTTGACTTCCCCATGTGTTGGAAGTGGCAAGTAAAGGTAGATACTGGCGTTTTTCATGCCAGAATGTCAAGTTTAATGCTAGTGTGGCATCTCTGTACTAGCTGTTCTTGGCATTTCAAACACTTGTCAGACAATTGACTCACAGAATTGATGGATCTGACTTGGCAGAAGTCTGCTTGAAACAGCTGCTAATTACTTGTCATGAGCACTTGCCAGCCCTTCTTCATATGTTCCAAGTATTCACGATAAAATGTTAAGACAATAACACTTGGAAACCTCACATCATTACTACCTGATACAGTGCTTGTGTTTTGACTTTATTTAATAGTGTCTGCCATCTATCTATGTCTTTCCTTAATCATTTGAAGACGAATTCAGATACCATACCTCATTCGTGTATTCTCCCTAGTGCATGAACAGGCTTTGGGAGCCCATTCCCTATGGAGGGATACTCTCTCAGTCTAGAACAGTGAGGGCCTCGGTCCTGCCCCAAATGATGGGACAGACTTTGATGATGCCCCCATGGGATGCCTCACCCTCCCTGAGGAGTGGATGGGGGTGGGATTAGGATATGGTGGGCAGAACGGGAGGACTGGAGGGAGAGGTAACTGGCATTAGTATGTAAAATAAGATTGTTCTTAATTTAAATAAACAACTTAATAAAAAATAGTAAGGATATTTTTCTGTATAGCTGTAATATACATTTGCGTTGGTGGCACACGCCTTTAATCCCAGCACCCAGGAGGCAAAGGCAGGCAGATCTCTGTGAGTTCAAAGCCAGCCTGGTCTACAGAGCGAGTTCCAGGACAGGCTCCAAAGCTACACAGAGAAACCCTGTCCCAAAAACCAAAAAAAAATCTCATCAGCATTCATCAATTCATCATCATTTTTTATTGACTCTATTTCTATTTCCTGTGGTCTCCCAACTATTTTTATACATTTGTCCAACTATTTTTTATAGTTTTTAAAACTTAAATCAAGATTTAATCCAAGCTTGCATGTTATATTTTGTTATTAATTCTTATGTTCTTTAACTTGTCACCTGAGGTTAACTTTATTGATTTTCATTTATGTCCTATAATTTTTAAGAGGTCAGTTAGGTTTTGTCATTAAATTTTAGAGGTGTGTTAATTAAAATGGCTTATTTTGGGAAAGTTCTACATAAGGTATATACCAAGACGTAATATCATATCATTTGCTGTATTTCCATGTATCTCTTATTCACATAAGAGCAAAAAAACCTTATTGCCATCTAAGGAAGGAAAATTTTATGGCCAGCAAGCTTGTATGCTACCCTTGACCCAATAAGACAGACAGCCTGGCTGCTACCATCTCAATCTAGGTTGCACTATCATGAAAATAAACAAATTCTGTGCTGTGAGCACTCCACTGCTCTTTAAAACAATAGAATCTGTTTTTTTGAGATCAGACAAGGTAAGAAAAGTCACTCTAGTCTTTTGTATAGCAAAAACCACCTCAAATAGTTCCTGGAGAGAGAATGAGACATCCTAAAGATGTGCCTCCCTTTTGGGTGTCTACATTAGGATTTTTTTTTTCTCTTTGATTTCTTTCATCTTTCTACCAGACAAAAATATAAACCATTGACCAGCATGTCAAGACTGTTTATATTAGTACTTTCATCTTATGTATTGATTCTATAACTTTGTGAAATAATTTCATATATCTTATTATTTTGTGTAATTTTGATTACCCACCTGTCATACAGTTTGTGGAGAAAAACGATGTGCTTTCAACATTTATTTTTCTTTTGTTGAACAGGGAAATCTTGTCAATTTGACTGCCTAATTAATCAGAGCTTTTACACTTCGAAAGTTCCCTTTCACTCACTGATCTTTGTACAATGTTTCCTTAAGGCACTTGAAGATTCTAGCTGCCTGAAAAGAAGTGGCCGAGACAGTGGCTACGGTGATATCTGGTGCCCTGACCGAGGAGAGTTTCTTGCCCCTCCAGGTAGCCACAGGAGGGAAGATTCCTTTGAAAGCTTGGACTCCTTGGGGTCTAGATCCCTGACCAGCTGCTCCTCAGATCTCACACTTAGAGGTGGGAAGGAAGGTGAGTTGTGACTTGGGATATAGGTTTATTTTACATGTTCATATATAAAGAGGAAATGAGATGGTGGATGAGTGAAAGTAGGGATGAAAACAGTTCAAAGATTTCATCAAGCTGTAGAGTTTAATAATTCCATGCAATTAGGTGGATTTTTAAATTTTGTTTTGCTTTTTATTTTTCCTTCAGTCACACCTTATAGTAATGCCAGTCACCCTCCCCCCCCCTTTAACTTCTGTATTTGGACAGGACTTGTGAGGAGATGGCTTACTGATTGGATTTTGCCAATCAGAAATTCTTCAGATAGAGGCTTAGCATAGGTATCTAATAACAGCTGTTAACTCATATATCCAAACACAAAATGAATAAGTAAATTGTCTTTCTACCTCCCAAGTCTTTTTCTTTCTTGCCTTAATTTACCAGAAAGTTTTAAGAAAAAATGAAAGAGGAAAAGTGGTTTAACAGCTCTGTCTAAACTTTAATTGACTGGGTAACGAGGAGGTAGGAAGCATCTTCCAGCAGTTCTAATCCAGGACAGAATGAGCATGAGAGAATGAGTTAATGCAATTCCTCTTGTGGGAAGGACCTTCCATTCAAACTTGAAAGCTTGAGGTCAAATCCACCATTGCCATACATGTCTTTGAGGCTGGCAAGATGGTTCCGTGGTGAGAGGTGCTCGCTGCTTGCTGCTAAGCGAGTTCCATCTCTGAGACCCACAGAGCACAAAGAGGGAGAGAATCGACTCCTGTATGTTGTTTTTAGACTTCTATATGTGTGTTATGGCAAGGATGAGCATACATCCCTTCACACAAAATCAGTAAGGATAAGTAAATATAAAAAAAGAATTGTATGTATATTCCTATGGCTCCTAGGTAGTATTAATAGTTTCTGACTAAATATTTAGGTAGTCTGGATTTAGTCTAGTAAGTAGAAACCATAGATGACATTTCAAATACTGAGGCTATAGGTCAGTGGCTGACATCCACGAGACGATCAAGTTTAAACCCCAGCACTTGCGAGACCAGTTTATCTTTTTCCTTTTTAAAAGTGTATCTGTGCTTCAAGCCTTGTCGTTATCAGGAAAGAAATGGGAGCTCCTACTGGGAACTTGTCTCCATCCTTGAGGTTTCAGTTTGTTTACTGTGGACATAAATACTTTAGCCAAGACTTCTATTATGTGAAATCTCAAACACCACAAATAATAAGCTTGTTTTCTAAAAGTCGGTGAAGCATGATCGAAAAACTAAATTCTTTAACTTTTAGAGCAGTGACAGCAGAGATTGTGAACGGCTTTAGTATTACCCTTTGTAACTGCCACTGTTTTTGTTGGCTCTTCCCTACCGAGGTATGACTTTTTCAGAGAGCAGATGAAAATGATCGTATCTGTAAGGAAAGAAATCTAAGTTTGTAATTCAGCCGAATAATTAGAGTTGTAAACTGACACTGAAAAATCTCAACCCACTATGTTCCTTTTAGCTGACCGAGGAGCCTATGGTATGTGATGTTTGAACTTGTATCTGCCTGTCAAAGAGTAACAGCAGGAAAGGTTGTGGCTTTGTGGCATGTGTGGATTTACCATCAAAACAGAGACACAGTGGTGCAAGGTCTGAGTCTCCTTTGATATACAGACCCATGCCTGGTGTGTGTGACGTAAAGCAGAGGGCCCCATGGTCACATTGCAAGAGGACCTTGTTTAAGGGCTGTAGAGGTCTGGGCAATTGCAAGTAGGGTAGTGGGAGGGAGGCCGGTTCCAGGAGAAGGAAACATTTTTGTGACTATTCTATTAAAATTCTGCTGCCTACACCATTACAGTGGGTGGTAACCATAATTAGGATAATATTTTTAGGATTAGAAAACTGTGCATTTCATGAGTTTTGTATGAAAACATATCAGGAATGATATTTGTACCAATAAAAACTGTTAGCTAGAAAACAAGATTTTTAAGTTTAAAATTTCAAAGGTCAAATAGTCTGTGATTTTCAAATTTCATGAGTAGGTTTGGTAAGAAAAGGGTCTTTCTCTCTCTTTTTTTAGTAAGTGTTAAAAACAAAGCAAAAGAAAACAAAAGTAGCTTAATTGCCTCTGGTATCCTGGCCATGGCTCCCAAGCCAGTGTCCCTTTCTTCCTAGACAGTCCTTTCACCCGTTCTTGTGACACAGCTGTGTCGAGCAGTTCCTTTGAACCATATTGGCATTGTTTACTGTACATTCCTGCCTGGCAGGTGACAAAGGCAAGCTGGCTTTAGGTCACCTTAACCTGGAAGGTGTGCAGAAAGCCAGTAGCTATGGGCAGAGTTGGAGTTGCCTTCTGCTGCTGGGAGGAAGCAAGCAATGCTCACCAGTGCACTTGAGGCAGGGAACAATGAAAACAGGGAAGATTACTCCTTCTGGAGTTACATGGTTATTCTATTCCTGTGTTTTAAAGCATCTGCGTTTATTGGTTTCTCAGCTAGATAATATATTATTATTTTTGTCTGTCACTGGGATCTATCAAAAAGGCTTTTTTTGTGGTTATGTTTGCTTTTAAATAGGTTTTTTTAAATCACAATTCCTGATTCCCATTACAGTTCCTTTACTTCCCAGAGGGGGGACCCTTTTTAGTTCTGTGCTCTCGTGTGGGTATAAGCTTTAATTTGTTAGGACTTCAGATGTCATCTAGTCTGTCTTCTGTGGTGTAGGATCCTTGTCTGCATGAGTGACCTCACAGGGCCTGTCACTGTTGAGCCTTGTGCAGTCTTCCTTCAGTTTCTATGATTGCCTGTCGCTTCCTGTAACTCCTGATGGCTTTCTGCCATTTCTTACATTCCTGAGCTCCCGTAGAGTCAATCTATCTCACTCGTTAGCTAGATTTTTATCACTTGTGTCATTCCTCAGCAAAGTTATGAGGCATCCTGGTGGCAAAGAAGGTTGGGAAGAGAAGGGACTGAGCAGGGGATTGGGGACTCATGTGCTTATCATGTGCAGAAGAATGAACTGTGTGTGCCTCCAGTATGGAAAGCGAGTCCCTCCTCATGGGTCTTATCACAACTTCTTGACAAAGTTCTAAAAATATTCATGCCTTTTAGCAGCAGGGCTAGGTTTCCAAGGGAGAAGAGGCTATGCTGGGGGAGGGGGGTTCAGCAGGAATACGCTGGCTGGCGAGTAAAGCAAGTTCTTGTGCCTTTCTAGGTTTCGAAAGCGACACAGATTGGGAATTTACATTCAAAATGCAGGAGTATAACAAAGATGACATGTCCTATCGAAGGATTTCAGCTATTGAACCAAAGTCTGCCCTACCATTCAATCGCTTCTTGCCTAACAAAAGCAAACAGCCATCCTATGTGCCAGCACCACTGAGGAAGAAAAGGCCAGACAAAAACGAGGATAACAGAAGAAGCTGGGCAAGCCCAGTCTACACAGAAACTGATGGGACATTTTCAAGGTAATGAATGTCATGCGATATGGTTATTGCGCTCAGGATGTTTTCTGAATTTTCGGGCCTATTTAAGGTGGTAAAGGGAATGGCTCCTAAAGTGTAGTTAACATTTGTCATTAATGGGGATTTCTTTCCCTACCTCTATTTTCAGTCATTAGTATGCTGAAGACAGTTGTTGTGTTTCAGAACTTCATCTGCTGGCTAGGCCTTCTTTTAGATGCATGCCTTCAGTTTATTGGTGTGCCTCAGCTTACGGGATCATTGATTCGCTCAATTGTGAGCTCTGCCGATGTGTTTCCTTCCATCATTTCTCCTTTTTTTGTGGATAGCGGTGGGCATGAAGAAAAACTCTTAATTTCCCACCAAATTAGCAGAGCAGAGGATGAGTTTTTAAATCCCTCTTTTCTCACCCAGTGTGGACCTGAAAGAGGTTCTGACCCTGTTGATGAGTGAAGGTTTGCCTGATGTGATTTTGGGCGACTTAGCCAGCTGTAGATTCCATGTGAAAAGGAGACCTGAGGGTTTCAGCTCTCAAACTACTGCTTTCAACTCTTGTCTTCAAGCATTTTCTCCTGATATGTTAGTCTCTAGGATGCACACATGGAAAGGTCAGAAATTTTGTCCCAGCGTCTGGGTATCTATCATGCTACTGACTGAATCAAGAAAGCAATACCCAATCTGTTTGGGATTTGTCTTTCTCTTAACACAGCCTTGTGTATCTAGATTTTTCTCTAACCGTAATGTGAGTTGCTGATGTAATATCTTAATTTGGTCCTAGGAGCTGTGGTGTTAAGCCTGGGAGTTAATTTGTTCCATTCACAGGGGTGCAAACATTGTGAGGTGGAATGCATGCCCTTTGGGTTCTGTGCCACCAACTGCTCACACAGTATTTTAACGTGGTTGGATATTTTGAACAGTAACCAGAGAAGGACTTGGGGTCCCAAGATGGAGCGCTGGCACACAGTCCAAGAAACTTCCACCTCCTCTTGTTATTTGGAAGAGGAGGAAGAAAAGATAACACACACCCCCCACCCCGTGAAGGATGATCTCTATGTGCGGAAACTGAGCCCAGTCATGCCAAACCCAGGGGGTTCTTTTCATCACTTTCTTCCCAAATGTTGGACTCCAGAAGATATGAACTGGAAAAAAATAAAGAGGGAGACTTATAAGCCATGGTATAAGGAATTTCAGGGATTCAGGTTTGTTCACGAGCATGCTCTCGGCCCCCAGTGTGTGTTCTCTGCCCTGGTCTGGTGTATTCTGTGTCTTATTGTTTACAATTAGGGATAGAAAAAGGTTTATTTGCCCTTTAATATCTGTCAAACTTTCATAATAAAAAAAAAAACTTGGATTTAACATGAGGGTACATGCCTAGCACTCTGGAGGCTGAGACAGGAGGATTAAAAGTTTAAAAGAAGCCTAAGCTTCAAAATAAGACCCTGTCTCTGAAAGAAAAAAAAATGGGGGCACTTTTAATGTTTTCTTAATAAATTGCCTATGGCCTATGTTTTTTATCATTAAAACACAACAATGATGACAGCAGCAAGATAAAAAAACCCTCAGATTCTAGACATTAAGAAGACCCCTTTTATGTCTAATTTGGCATGGATTTCAGAACTCATATTCTTCTCCATTTCTTTGTCTGCTTCTCTTTTTTCCCCATTTTTCCATGTCCCTTCATGGCAGAAGGAATTCTGACTCTGAGGATGAGGACTTGGGCTCTCTTGGAAGCTCCACCATTTTTAGTAGACTAGAAAAGGCAGAGCATAGGTTAGCCAGCAGCTACCAAAGACCTTCACTCTTGCTGGAGCTAGCCACCAAGCATGCCATGAGGTCACGGGACACCCATGCAGCCAGGAGGACCAGCGGTGCTTTGGAGGAGTCCAGGTGCACCTGTCTGTATGAGCTACCTGCTTGTGGCTTATCTTAGACATCTTGTTTGGCTGTTGCTGCTGCTGCTGCTGCTGCATTAACCTGGGCCCTGAATACTGACTCATGGAAACTTTAATGACACAGGATAAAGGCACAGTGTGTAACACACTGCCATCTGCATGAGAGTGTTGACACAAAGTCTATAGGAATCAATGTGCTATTAATACAATAATGTGCAAGGCTGTTAATATTTATATGCACAAATTCTTTTGAAAATCCATTCCAAAAATGCTTTTGAAAACATGACTTAAATTTACTGTTGTGAGTGGAGAAAGGAAACCCTTTTAGACAGATCCTGGGAAGGACAAGTCTGGAGAATCCAAACCAAACCTCAGGATCTCTTATAAGATTCTAGAGCACTCTGTTATTTCTACTTACCATGAAGTGTGCTGTGGTGCAAAGTATACATGATGGTCAACTCGGCAGCCTTCTCTAGGGAGGGGATAAGGCCACCATGGAGAATAGAATTAGGAAGTCAGTACAAGGAATGGTGCCCATGTCCATGCCAGAGAGGTACACTTGATGGGAGTTATAGCTCCACCCCTTGTACCTGAGAGTGTTGACAATTCCTGGTAAGTGTAACCTGTTGTTTCTTTAGATGGCACCCAGAAAGTCACAGAGAATAGCATTGAGTATCTGTCTTGTTTGTCATGCTCCCATCCACGGCTCCTAATAATACCCACCTGATAAGTGCTGGTTTGTCTGCTGCCTAATTACCATTCTCCTCATACTTAATACGATTCTCCTTCCTTTTTCTTTTCTGTGCTTCAGTCAGTTTTTATTGCTTCAGGCCCTTCAGACATACTCTGATGACATCTTGTCTTCGGAAACAAGTGTCAAAATTGATCCCACCTCTGGCCCCAGGCTTATAACTCGCAGAAAAAATCTCTCTCACACACCAGGCTATGGTGCAGATGACCTTGAGCTGCCAGCCCTGGATCCTGACTTAGAAAATGATGATTTCTTTGTCAGAAAAACTGGGGCTTTCCATGCAAATCCATGTGTCCTTCGAGCCTTCGAAGACTTTCGAAGGTTCTCTGAGCCAGATGATGCCGTTGAACGAGACATAATTTTGCAGTGTCGGGAAGGTGAACTTGTGCTCCCAGATTTAGAAAAAGATGACATGATTGTTCGTCGGATCCCAGCACAGAAGAAAGAAGTGCCCTTGTCTGGGGCTCCCGATAGATACCAGCCAGTCCCTTTCCCCGAACCCTGGACCCTACCTCCAGAAATCCAAGCGAAATTTCTCTGTGCACTCGAAAGGACACGCCCACCCCAAGAGACAAGCAGTAGCTGTAGAGTGTTAGTTCCTTCCTATCGACAGAAGAGAGACGACATGCTGACTCGTAAGATCCAGTCTTGGAAGCTGGGGACTGCCGTGCCTCCCGTCAGCTTCAAACCTGGCCCCTGCAGCCAGGCCGACCTGCGCAAGTGGGAGGCCATCCGGGAGGCCAGCAGGCTTAGGCACAGGAAGCGGCTGATGGTTGAGAGGTCAGAGTGTGTTTCTGCAAGGATTTGGCTTGTGATGATGGTCTTGTGTAAATTTCCTTATGGAAAAAAAAAAAAGCCTCGTCAGTTTACTCAGCTCTGCATGCTGTGTGCCGTTTTGAAGCATCCTGTAAAACATGATTTGGCTTTGAGAAACTTTTAGTCATTTCATGGAGGAAGTGCAGTTCCATATTTACGCGTCTTAGGATGATTTGAGAAGGTATATACAATGCCTGCCTCTGGCTTGGAATCTGGCTTGAAGTGTCTATCATTATAGTCCAACGTGACACTAGATACAAATATTTTCTGATTGTCTTTGTAGGTTTTTCTCCTCGTGTCTAGCATTTCTGTAGTAGTCTAGTTGTGGTTTGGTTTTATGTGTTTATCACATTTTGCAGTGTCTTTTGTTGAGCTGAGTATTTCCCTAAAATACGTCATTGCAGATTTTATTTAACTTGATTTTTGTTGTTGATCTAGATTTCGTGTACTATCAGTTTGTTGCATTTTTATTTATAAAGTTCAGTGCAAGCACCATGAAAATGCAATGAGTCTGTCAAACTATGTAGTTGTGACCATTTTGGTAACATGAGCCATGCAACTTTCTGATAGCTGTTCTGTTCACTATAAGTTGGGAATGGGCAAATTTGATGAAGCTAAATACAATGAGTGTCTTTAAATCTACCTTTGCTCCTGGCAAGGGGAGGGCTTGTCTTAGGAATTTGTTGGCTCAGAATAAATTATGAAAATGTTGTTATTATTTGACCTGAGACTGACTAAAACCTGAACTATTAAGAAGTGGCTCAGGGCCAACTGGTTCAGATTCGCCCATTTCCAGTAATAATCAAGTTAAAAATGTAGAATGCTTAGAAACTAATGCAGCTGGGGAGAGTGACCTTTTTTAACCTTTGGTCTTTTGGTTTCTTAGACTCTTTCAAAAGATTTATGGTGAGAATGGGTAAGTGGTAAGTTTTATGGTTCACATTAAAACTAAATCTGCATACTTGTTTGTCTCTTCTGTAACTTACTGCACCTATGTCCTGGCATGTTACTAAATGGGTTACATGGGCTTTTTATTTACTTTTTTATTAACATTCTGCAACATTGCAACCTCATTGCAATATTTTTGCATTTTGTACCCAATGCAATGCATGAACCATTATATAAAGCAATAGTTTTTGCTGTATTAAATTTTAACTCCACCCACTTTCTTTTTTCTTCTCATTTAATAATTAAAAGTAACAAGAGCCTAAGAGTATGTTCATTTTGGTATCTGACTCCTAAAATATAGTAGGCTTCTGGTTTCTAGTTGGTGAAGGTCTCCCCCACAAACTGCAGTTTAGAAAGTCTGTGATAGGAAAAGACATCACTGCTCACTTAAAGTTGGAACTCATGTAGCCTACATAGTTCATGTCCTTAGCTGCTGAGGAGCTTTGTTAGTGCGGATGGCTAATAGTTTTGGGAAATATTTTCAAGATTCTCGATTAGGGTAGACAGTTTTTTGTAACATGGCTGCCTACAAAGAGCAAACTGGACTTCCAAATTATGAAAAATGATCTTGGTAGTTTCCATGTTTTTACAAGAGCTATATTTAAATTATTTCTCAGGATTTGTCTACTCATATTTAATATTCATTGGGTAAACCCGACTGCCACTTAAAACTGACTTTCCCAATTTTTTTCCAGTCTAGATGATTTTAAACTAAGTTATTCATTCTTAATGCAGCATTAGCAGGCTTTCTGTAACAGTGAAACGTATTGGTAATATAGTTTTTGAGGAAGAGGAAGAGAGTTGAAGAATACCCAGTATTTTGAGTATCTTCCCCTTTCCAAGGTTTATCCATCTCTCCGAATCTCTAATTTTAATAGTTTTTAATAATTTCAGAAGTTTATAAATATTAGAAGCTACCAAAATTATGACAAAATTCATTATAACAACTCTAGATATCAAGGATGTGATTAAGAAATGGGCAGTGATTACAGTTACTTCTTCCAGTGTGGCATGTGAGGGCACATTGTCCCTTCCTCACACGTGTCCATATCCTTGTGGGTTTCATCTGCAAGGGTGAAGAAGTCAGTCTTTGGCATAACACTTCAGTAGCTGTTCATCAATTTGTTATAGGAAAGCTGTTTTAACTTCATTAAAAATCTTCTTTAGGCTTCAAGCAACCTGAATAACTTTCATAAGGAATTTTCATTTGTAATCACTTTTGACTTTGTAGCATAAGCACATACAAGTACCAAGAGTCTAAGTTCTTGGCGCATGTAAACACATAACTTCCTGTCTGACTGGGATCCTACCTGTTTTCCCTTAGTGTAGGGTTGTTATGTGGCTTGAATTACCCCTCCCAAGAGTGGGATCAATGGTTGAATTCATGCCTAGCTTGCCTGTGGCTCTAAGTTCATTCCCCAATACTCTGGACCCACCCTAACCACAAACAGCAATTAAAAAAAAAGAAAACCTTAAATATTCAACCTCAGATGCTGTGAAATTTTTCTGATCCATAACAGTCAGCAGCAAATGCTTCCACTAGACAATTCCAAGTAGTAGTTTGGTTATTTGGATAGCACAGTGTTTGCTGTAAAAGGCTATTTTAAAAAATCCATATGCAGACTAGTGCTAAGGTAACTACACAAATAAAGCCAGATAATTGAGACTAAATAATACAGACTTGTCAGATAATGGGACTTAATATGTCTTAGAAAATGCAGTTGTGTTTAGGAGCAATTTTAGGTTTATTTATTTTTTCCCTTTTTCTCCTATGTTTTATAGCTACCAGTGATTTCCTTACATTGATTTTACAATAACGTTAAACTATACATTAAAATTGAATTACTTATATTTTAATGTACAACTCATTGCACATTTATGCTGAATGAACTTTCTCCAAAAATAATATAGTGGAAAAGCAGTACTGTTTGATACTCTGTGATGAAAAACTAACTGCCTATCAGGTGAATGCTGTCTTTGTGGGAAAGACTAATTTGAAGAGAATGAGTGGTATTTTATCTTGGATCTTGACCTACTAAGTCCTAGCTTGCATTTCATGTGTTTTTGGAGCTTGTGCATGCTATGTAAGTGTTTTACTAAAGCTTTAGTGGGCATGTAACACATTGTTTTATTAAGATGCTATCTGTGTGGCTGCCAGTTCTCATGTGTCTTTGTGTTGCATGAATTTCCATTTGTGTGGTTCTGTGAAGTTTGGAATCTGGTCATGTTTTGATATAAGCTTGGTACTGACAAAATTTGCAAGAATATGTATAAGCTACCTGGTAATGTAATAACCACTGAAGCTACTGTTAGTGTCACAAGGAAATAAATGCCAATTAATGTAAATTGGCAGTCAAAGACAACGAAGACAGTTGTATTTTTCTCATAGAACTTCTCCACATGATTTTGTTAGGAGTATTAGGACATATCATCAAAGCAGGCAAAGATGAAGGGGAGACAAGTTGCTCTGGGATATTTTCTGCAGATTTCCTTTTCCACTCCAAATGACATCTAGTTCTATATAGAATACTTTTCATATTACAGCCAAGTGTGTGTGCTGTTTACATTTAGTGCTTTGTGTATGTCCTACAATACCCACAATGGCCCAGCATAACCCTCTACAGCAAATGGCTGAAATGTTAATAGTGTTGGTGTTGAGAAACCCAAATAAGTAGATAAATTTAATAAATTAAAATTCCTTCTTATGTTCTCTTATTCTACCTGATGGCAATTTCAAAATATCTCACAGATTTTAGCACTGGTTATTGTTCACAAAATCCTACAGTGTTTACTGAAATATATATGTATACATATAGTTAGATAATTAGCATATTTATATTATTTACATTGTTTTCAAAGGCAGAGATCCTTAGCTTACTGTTTTTGAACTTCTATTTGCCACCCAAGGCTGTGAGTAAATCTATATTTAGGAAAAAGTGCCTTATATTGGCTCCTTGAACTCTTTCTTCTATAGATCAGTGTTTCTGAACTGTGGGTTGTGACTTCTTTGGGATGGAATGTCATTTTCACAGAGGTCACCCAAGACCTTTGGAAAATACAGATATTATTTACATTACAGTTCAAAACAATAGCAACATTACAGCTATGAAGTAGCAATGAAAATAATTTTACAAAAAAAAAAAAAGAAAATAATTTTACAGTTGGGGGAGGGTCACCAAAACATGAGGAACTGTATTAAAGGGTTGCAGCATTAGGAAGGATGAGAACCCTGACACAGACATGAGTTTACTGAAGGTGTCAGGAGCATCACATATGACCAGAGGAGGACAAGGAAATTATATTTAGTGATTTATAAGCGATGCCTTTCTAAACTTCTTCCTGTCCTTCCCCCAATACTATTAAATTAATTGAAAAGGCAAGATTCCTGTGACACCTGCATTTTTGGGGTGCAAATACAATGCAGTTGTAAACTGGAGCTTCAGAATACAGAAATCTAACTGTAGAAGGCAGTTCTAAAAGGACGATGTGACGCACCTGTGCATTGTCCATGCTGGTCATGTCCTCGCAGTTGCCTGGATGCTTTCCTAGGTGCTTATCTCAGCTCCGTATGGCAGACAGGCCAGTGTTATCTGCATTCTGTAGACAGAGATTGCAGCTTTCCCAAGGGTGGAGGCTCTCAAGTAGGAGAACCGGACTGGGGCGCTCTACCTCATGAGGCAACTCATGGGACTGCTTGGCAGTGCTTTGCCACTTAAGGAACACCTGGGACTTTAATGTCATGCGGTTAATGCTGATAAAGAAAGAAAGACTTCATCATCTTTATGCTCTAGACGTTCTAGATTTTATCTGTGTGGTCTGGGGCGACCTTTCTAACTTGAAAGCAGTTTAGAGAGTTAGTATTTGTGAGGTTCCATACGGTCACATCTGCCTTAATAAGAACTGGTATATAGCACCAGATTTTTAAGAATCGTGCCAGCACAGCCTTACCTAGTGATCATAACTCACAGATGAGGAGCTAAAGCTCTGAGAAGAGAACTGATGTGTTTTCAGTGGGTGAAAGCTTATACTGCAGCTGGGCCTGGGGCCCTCACCTCTTGTCTCTTACTGGAGTCTATGCAGACAACTATGGCCTGTGCTCCCGCTTTAATGGGGTAATTTACATACCCCAGAAACAAACTCCGCTTGCTTACAAAAAGACTTTTCTTCTCTAGTTCATGTCCAGCTCACTTTTGTTCATGCTGTGTGCCTCGGGGCTGCTAGGCTTAGCTCAGCACTCAGACACTAGGGGGAGAGAGGCAGCCTTACCTTGGACTTGGCACACTGTATGAGAAAGTGAGCAGTAACTCTTCCCAGCCCAGGAGGAAGAGAAGCCAGGGAAGGTTCCGGACTAGGTCAAGGGATTGAAAGAGCCTAATGGAGTATAAATTAGTATTCTATTTTTGTTTTACCCTTTATGCAGCTTCCTATGTTACATGTCCAGCCTCCACTCATGCCTTGGACCTACACATTTCCTTCTCATTTCTTACTGAATATTTTTGTTTGAACTCACAAAGCCTCTTTAGTGAGTTTATATTTTCAAATTCACACCATCTAATTATGTAGTTACACCTAGTATATTATACATGTATATTACACATGTATAAGTTCATATACTTTTCTGTAATCATAATTCTATATGTAATTGATTTCCTACTAAGTCTATATAACGCTATAAAACTTTGGAGATCAGTTATGCTTTCCCACAGAGTCAATTCAGATTTTCCGGATTTGATTAACTATGCTCTAGCTAACATCATTCTTAGCACAGATACTAAGTGAGTTGTATCTGCATGCATGGTAGTATGCTAATGTTTTCTTTCCAAACAGCATATGGCTTGTGAGAGAGGTGGTATAGGTATGCTTATACATACGATATAAGATGGAGGCAAGGATTAGTATCATGAGAGTTGCTATAGCTAAAGTACTAGAGTAGATGAGAGAGAGAAGGGGTAGGTCACTTTTCACATGGAAGAGCCACAGAGACTCTGTGCATGTGTTACAACACTATTAGATCATTGATTGGAGGTGTTTATGGAACACTCACTATGTGCTAGTCTTTGTTTTAAGTCTAGTGACATATCAGCAAACAATTAGATGTGATTTCCAATAATCTAACAGGTCTCAGCAGGTAATAGGGAAGTAAGAATATCCTAGATGTCAATAAATGCTCAAGGAAGAGATGGTTGAGGTGGGATCATCCCAGAGAGACATTTGTAGGCTCTCGTAGGATGGCAAGAGAAGGAAACACTGAATAACATTTAAGTGGATGCTTGGGAGTGAAGAGAAGTCATGTGGTTGTCTAGCTGGATGAAAAGTATTATGGCAGGTTGAAGAGCAAGGGGAGAAGCAAGAGTTGTGAGCATGTGCAAGACAGCCATTTGGCAGGAGGAAAGTGAAACCAGGACAGGGTGTTAGAAATGAGTGTGGAGAGGCAGGAAGGGACCAGATGATACCAGACCATGAAGGTCTTTGAAGAATCTACTTAGAACTTTGACAGGAAGAAGCTCAAGTCAACAGTCAGGTGTGCCATGACCTAGATGAGATTTAGAAAGGTCCCTCTAGCTGCTCCACTGAGTATGTTGAGCTGGATGGTGGAAGCAGGGACATCTTTGGCATTCTTCAAGTGGGTATGATGGTGTAGATCAGTATAATGATGAGGAGGAAGTGAGAAATGGTTGTTTTCTAGAAACAGAGAGGAGAGGAATTATAGATGGAATAAGTGTTGTGAGGGAAAGAGAGGAACTGAGTGACTCCAAGCTTTTTGGTCTCAAATGTAGAAGGATGGAACTGACCTTCACTGAATTGAGGAAGACAGATGGTGAGCAGGAAACAGTGGAGTGAGCCTACTCCACTGTTTTTGAGTGGTACTTTAAAAGGCAGAGAGGCACCGGCAAAGGGCTCCTGAGTTGGAAGGGAGCATTTGAGGAAAGCCTTCTTTGATGATAATTTAAGCAGCTCTTTTGGAAATCCAGAGGAGGGCTGCCTGTGCCTTGATCTAGACTGATGGCAATCAGCATGGAAAGAAAGTGGCATTAAATAAGACAACCAACTGAAAGTAAGGAGAAGAGAGGAACAAAAGCAAACAGTGGTTCTTAAGTTTCAAATGCAGATGACTGAGGGCAGCTACCACAATTAACCCCCACAGAGGAAAAGCGGGATTGAGATTGGCTATGCCAACAATAACATCATGTTTAGTGAGGAGCAGCTTAAAAAAAAAAAACAAAAAAAAACCCCTCCTTCCCAGATAGCATTTCAGCAGGTCCCTCTATAGTTGAGGTACCTAGGGGTATATTCAAGAATAAATGCCTATTCACAAGCAATTGGAAACAAGTCAGAGGGCCATGTCCTGGGCTGGAGCCTCCAGAGTCATTTGCATGGTAATCAGAATTACCTTCCTGAACCAAGAGTGATGAAGAAAAGTGTGATGGCAGAACTGGGGAGAATGAAAAACTTAGGTGCCCAAGGATATGCTAATATAATGTAAAATATGGTTCATGTAGAATAGGAAAGAGTATTTCATCTATCCCACCTCTAAGACTCTGTCTCTTTCACTTTCTTACTGCCCTCAGTGCTGACCTGACCCCTGAATTTCTGGGAGGTCTTTCTCATCCATGCAGTCTGCAAAGGGTAGTAGTTATATCCTAATCAGTCACTAATCTAAGTGAACAAGTCTCTTTACTACCAGGAAGCAACTTACTTCCTTTGAGAGTTCGAAGCCTATTAGAGGATAATAGTTTTCTAGTTTTCACAGTGCTCACATGTAACAGTAATGTGGAAAAAAAGTTTTGAAACCCCATCCTAGCTTTATTTCCTGATTGCACATTTCCATGTATGGGGGCTACAAGTTAGGCTGTGAGCAGCGCCTTAAGGAAGGAAAGGGTATCCGAGGTGGTTCTGACAGGCTGTGGGAAGCTACGGTCTGGACTTCTAAGAGTTGGTCCAACTGCACAGTAGTACAGTAGATCTTAGAGAATCATTGTGAAGACACAGTGCATCTTTTCATGGTGTTGAACTTGAGGAGAAAATATCAGGTAGTCACTAAATTATTTAGCAAGTGCCTAGCAAAAACAGCCAAACTTTACTAGGTTATCTTTGAGGGAACATAGACAAATTCAGATAGGTGATGTTAGTGACAGATGTTCTGGAGTTGACCACTCTAAATACAAGCACTGCATTATTATTTTTAGACCTCTTCAAGGTTACCTTGAGCATTTTGTGGAAAAAAAAAAAAAGCATCTCACACCTGAGTTGAAAGCCAGGCTCTGGTTTCTGTGCTTTGGAAAAACACCATTTATCTGTGTCGTGCTATTTCAGGGACACTATCGCCAAAGCATCTGGGTAGGGCAGTAGATATTTAGGTGGAATTTCTAAATAGAAGCCCAGTCTTTATGTGAACCCTCAGGCTATCCACAAGAACCTTGGTGATCGTAGATGTTTTTGCGACAGGAGCAAGTCCATGAGCGATGTCAGCGCAGAGGATATTCAGAACCTGCGACAGGTGCGGTATGAGGAGATGCAGAAAATAAAATCCCAACTGAAGGAACAAGATCAGAAATGGCAGGATGTGAGTATTCTAGAACTGGGAGGGGGTGGGGACATGGTACACTCTTTGCCCCTCTTATGGATGCCAATGAACTTGAGTGACGATTTTCCTTAGTGTTTTAGCTTTCAGTACTATAGAAAATGTGCCCAAAGTACTGTTGTATACCTTGAAGGCCATTGTCAAAATGGAGAAGTGTGCTTATCTTCTAAGAGACGGGAGTTCTCAAGGTGTGGGAGGGTCCACCTGGCAGGTTAGTAAACTCGCTTGCTTGGGAGAGTGGGGTATGACTACTAATTATGCCTCTCCTAGCAAAACAGCATTGATCAAGATTGAGATTGAATAGGAGCAGGATCTAGCTCAGATGTTGGCATCAGTGGGGAGAGATGTAGAGTTCTCAAAGTTACTTGGAGATGGGGATGAACTACACATCAGTATTATTTTGATTGAAGTCAGTGCCGAATGTGATTCCAAATGAACTGTTTTCAGAGAGCTGGCATACCCAAGGGCTTATGTGGACATGGACTTTACCTTTATCTTGAATCTTAAAGAAGAAAGTATGATATAATAATATAGTAATTATTATAAGCTGTAGGAATGTAAGGGACTGTAATAGACAAATGGCACTCCCAAGCCCAAAGAAGTTTGGAGCACAGGTTCATGGTAAGAGACACATGAACAAAAGCGTTGGAGAAAGTCAACCTCGATGTCCAAAGACACTACATTGCTAAACTTTAGTGTCCTCTTGATGGAACTTGATTGATCAAGAAACAGCATGCAGGGCTCAGCATGTGACTCTGTGTTAGAACCCTTGCCTCATGCCTGGGATGTTTTAACTGCAGCCCCAATCCCTACAAACCAGGGAAGAATTAAGTATTACATTGCTAAAACACACAGTGAGTTTTTTTTTTTTTATTTTTTTGGATAAGAAAATAATTATCAAGGTAGGGTACCCATTAGGTGAGAGCAGATGAATATTTGGGTGACTTTATTTCTTTTGGGGAAAATAGTTCACATTGCTTTCAGGGAGTTTGAAAAGCAGGATTGGCCCTATGTGTCCCTGAAGTTTAGGAGCCAAACTTGCTTTCCAAGCCCTGGGGGTGAGGTCTGGTTTGTTCTGAGACCTTCAGTATACTTCCCTTTGTAATAGGATTTCTCTTGGAATTCTTAGTATGATATTTCTCTGATTTGGAAATGGAGAAATATTTGTAGCATTCAAAATGCTTCAATCCCCAGGTGTCCCAACTGGCTTATGCAACCAGGGATACCTGCATTAGGTAAGACTGTCCAGGCTGATGTAGAACACGTTTCTGGCGATGTGGGAAACAAGTATGGGCTTGTACCTACATGATGGTCCCTGTTCTCTCCCAGGAGGACTATGTTCTCTGAAATCATGGGCAGTCCAGTGTGGTTTGTGATCTCCCCTTCTGTAGGTAGAACTGGCTTTTTCTTCTGGGACCCTTGTTCTCAGTAGACCTACTCCACTAGACAGTAACCTTTATACATAGTCTATGTTGTTGAGGGGAACAACATCTAGGGCATCTGTATTTCTGGGGATTGAACTAGATATTAATAAGATAGACCATTTACTTGAACTGGACTGTCACTGGAACATTTCTGTCCCTCTCATCATAGTAAGCATACGAATCAGGGGTTTAGAGTGCTATGAAATTGAGTTTGAGATATTTCCCCATCAATCTGATCTAGTGCCTAATTGCAAGCATTAGTGTTCTTTGAGAAATGGACATTGATGTGATGATTTCTTGGATAACAAAAGTGGGATCTATCTTCTTATTAGGTCAGGGTTCTCTGGCAGGCACATGAGATAAAGGCTTGGTACAGAAACACAGGCTATAAAAAGCAAAATTAGGCCACCTTGGCACAAGTGGGAGCGAGTGCTTTCAGCTTTGTAACAGGATATTCCAGCATGCGCTCACCCACTGCAAGGAAAGGGTGTGTAGAAATTCAGGTATGACCGGGCTGATGTGATTTCTTGTCAGGACCTTGCAAAATGGAAAAGTAGGCGGAAGAGTTACACATCAGATCTGCAGAAGAAGAAGGAGGAGAGAGAGGAGATTGAAAAGCAGGCCCTGGAGAAGTCTGACCGGAGCTCCAAGACATTTAGAGAAATGCTGCAGGACAGGTAAAGGGCTGGACGCCCCTTGTGTTTGGAGACCCTGCATAGGGTGGGATATGTGGTCACCAATTTTAAACTGTAAACACATATGTACCGAAGCAGCCAGGGCTTTGTTCTGACGCACTGAAACAATATTGCTGAACTGGTGATCTGGGTTGACAAAAGAAACTACTACTTAGCCTTGGGGAGCAGTGTTCTTTCTTTGTCTCACTCTGTGTGCTCTTCTGTAGAAGGAGGAGTTATTCACTATATTTGATATATAAAAAAAAACACTGGTTTTTCTCACTCTTAAAGTGAGTTTAAGCATAGGGCAGTGAAATAAAGCCAACTTTTACTTTTAAATGAATTTTATGAACTATAAGAGATCTTTGTTAAATTTAAGTGGTAGAGTATAACTTATATTTAAAGGAAGTCTATGTAAGTGTGGATGTGTGGATTTATTCTTTGAGTTGAAATAACAGGATAAAAGTGAAATTTAAACTTTCATATGAGTACTTTAACTGTGTGGACCTGGAGAAGATAGGTAGATCAGAGAGAAAGCAAATATGCTTTAAAAATAAAGTTACAAAGGAAATATGCTGGCAGGTGAAATTAAACAAAGCTCCATTGTGTCCCAAATGCCAATGCTCAGGAGTTTCATTCACTGAAATACAGAGTTAGCCAGGGAGGTAGGGCTCCCCACTAACTGCAAGATGAAGCTGTTTTACCAGCTCTGTAAGTATGATAATAACCTTGAGTCTATTATAATTGCCCATGGGGAATCTGTCAGGCTCCATGAACTGACTGGCTCTCTATAAAAGCCCGATTCTCTTGTGCTATTATTTTTACCAATACATTGTAAATTTTATATAGCAAAATTTGGCAGATTTTTTATTGGTGGCCAGCCATTTAAAGCATTTTGATCTTGGAAGACAAACATTTGTGCCTAAAAACCTGGAAATAATCCCGTGTTAGAGCTCTCTTATTTTGTTGTTAGTTTATGGTTAAAAATATCCATTTGAGAACTTCTTTAATTAAAAAAAAGAAGGCCGGGTCAGTATCTTAGCGGATGCAGAAAGGCGTTATTATTGTGCTGATTATTGTGTTGAGTGAGTAACCACTTACATATTAGTTATTGTCTTACCCCATCTGGAGTCACATGCATAATTCTGTGTAATGGCACATTTTTCTTTGCTAAGGGAATCTCGAAATCAGAATTCTACAAGGAGGATGTATTCCTCCGATGATGCCCTGGACGATGACGTGCTCCTCCCTACAGTGACTCTGTCAGAAACCAGCTACCGGAGCGAGACAATGGAAGACAAGGCAACAGCTTATTCCACCGAGACGCCCAAAGAAGATTGCACAACTTTTTCAAATAGTCAGGACAGTGTAGCAGCTGAAGTTCAGTTTCCATCTCATATTCCTGAAGAGCAGCGGCCGGCCCCCGTGGCTGCTGTGGAACCACAACAGGCCCCCTCGTCTGCTGTGGAAGCGCAGCCCCAGGCCCCCTTGTCTGCTACAGAACCGCCGCAGGTGTCGGTGTCTTTATCTTCGGTAGCACAGCGTCCAGTCTCGCTCTCTTTTCAGCAGTCGCTGAGTACAAGAGGAGAGTCGACTCGGATTTCAGCTTCTCTCCCTAGAAGTTACCAGAGATCCGATACAGCCAGGTTAACATCTGTGGTCACAGCGAGACCTTTTGGCACGCAGTCAAGGGGAATCTCATCACTGCCCAGATCCTACACGGTAAAAATGCCCCACGTTCATCCAGTCTGTTCCCAAGAGCAATGAGTTGGGGGGAACTTGAGCAGAAGCCATGAGAGTGGGAAGATACTAGATGTGCAAAATGTAGATACCATATACAAACAACTCCTGTGACAATTTAGATCTAATAAAAACAGGGGTGATAAACTTTACAGGAGACAGAAAAGTCATTTGTTTTCTTGCCTTATTTTTGCCTGTATCTCTTCTGAACTTTTAGGTCGAACATTATGAAATTGCCAGCAGTCAGCTCTTTTTTTTTTTTTTTTTTTTTTTTTTTTTTAATTTTTTTTTTGGGGGGTTTTTTTTTCCCCCCCTTTTTTTTTTTTTTTTTTTTTTTTTTTTTTTTTAAATCTATGATATGGCAGGTTTTTAAGCCTCACCTTAACTGTTCTTAGGGTTGTATATGTGAGGTCTTCTATCCTTGCTTTCTACCTTAGAACTTGATGCTTGAGTATACTTTTGTTGAAATATATACGTTTGTATCTCTAATGAGATTCAGCACACGTGGGGCATGTTAGACTGAATTATGTAAATGAAGATGTGGTCTGGATATTTAATGTTTATGCTTCTGCCAGTTCTGCCCACCTAGCCCTTAAGATCTTAAGATCTGGACCTTTAGATGAGAATTAGGGCTTAAGAAATTAGTGTTCAAGCCGAAGGAAGCCTATCTAAGTCTGCCAGAAGATCCCTGACCATCCTAGTAAGGAAAATTTAGACCTATTTGACAACATAAAATTAAACTTGTATAGCAAGTGCTATTAACATGGGGCACTTTGAGTCACAGTTATTATTTAAACTGCATTGTAGGAAGCAGTTGACAATTCTAAGATGTGAAGTATTTTTGTAACTTGATAAGGGAATGATAAACACTAGAAATGGACATAGCAAATGAGATGGCCAGTTCAATGGAAAGGAATGTAATGAAAGTATAAAGAGATATGTTTAGCCTTGTTAGCCTGAGAATTGGGTAAACAACTGTTCACCCATCTGACTGACAAATATTTTCAGTGCTGAAACTGTTTATTGTTGAGGGGGTGTCCTTCTGCCCATGAGTACAGGGCTGCTGTTTTCTCTGTAGAAGCGAGAGACAGATCCCACAGATATAAAACCTTTGATGCAGTGAGTTTTTGCAACATCTGGGCTCTAAAGTAAAAGCTCCGTTTATAAAGGGATGCTGGAATTGGTTGTAGTGTTTCTCGGGAGTGCTGAGTAGCTTTTAAGAAATTTAATTATATATCAAATGAACAAATGATTGATATATACACTGTGGGGTTTCCAGTGATTGAAAGACCTAGTTTGGAGTTGTGTGTGTCTGTTGTCCTGGAGTGATACGAACAAACAAAACAAGTGTTAGAAAACCATAAATAATAATGGTATTAGAACAAGGGTTTCTATGCTGGTGCATATTTGGTAGTGTGAAGGAATGCATTCCAAACTTTTGACAATAGTTACTTTTCTGTGACAAGTATATGCTACTTTAGTGCCTTTCAAATATTAATAAGTCTGTTTTTAAAACTGGACCTAAGGTTGGCAGAATATTGGGTTTAAAATGATGTTTCCTATGTAGATGGATGATGGCTGGAAGTACAACGGAGATATTGAAATTGTCAAGAGACCTCCACAGAATCTGGTCAAAGCTACTGCCCCAAAGCTTGACTCCACCCAGTTTGTTCTGGGCTCATCCAGTGAAAAAGAGGCGACCACAGGAGAAGATGTGGCAAGCATGTCCTCTCCCACACCCTCCTCTTCCCTCTCCCAAGACCAGGCAGCCACCTCAAAAGCCACACTCTCTCCAATGTCTGGCCTGGATTCAGTGTCTGACTCTGGAGAAGGGAGAAGCTCACCACAGAGGGAGGTTTCAAGGTCCCAGGTAAGTTTCTGAGGGTTCTTAATCATCAGGCTCAGATACTTAATGATTTCAATCTGGAAACCGTTGTTCTAGCCCCTAGCTTTTACAGTAGAGGCTGCTATTTATATCATGCAAAAGTATATTGTTGTATTTTTAACAGCTTGTGGAGGAAGTAGGTCTTTCCCACTCTTAGTTTGTAGCTCTCAGACATCCTTCATGGGCGGTGTCTCTGGAGACTTGGTATACCAGTCTCCTGGAAAGTTTGCCTGTAGTTTTTATTATTCCATGGCTCTCTAGTTCCTGCTGCAGATCTAATATATGTGTGGGTAAGCAAAAGCCCGTCTCCATGGAAATTAACCAGCTGCAGAAGGAAACTGTCCATTTAGTGGATGCTTGTCTCTAGGGACACAGCATTTTGTTATCTCTTAATCTTCTTGTGGCTTTTCATACCCATTTGGACTTGTGAAAGGCCACATTTGCTGTCATTCCTTGTCTCTTAGTGGGAACAATGAGGTGTAGTTGCAGTTTGAAAACAGTGATTCTGATCATTTGGACTCCAAATAAAATACTCCAGCAGATTTAAAATGAATGGGAGTGTTTGCTATTTTTCCCTTTTAAAACCCTAACAGATGGCTTTCAAGAGAATTATTAGGTGACATGTTTTCTTTCAGTCTACATGTAAAAGCCACTAAAAGTCTTTGTCAAACTAACAAAGCTTCTTTAAAATAACCGAAAGCCAACAGCACTCTGGTTAAGCAACTTGCTAGTGTATAAGCCCCTTCTCATGGAAGCATTTTTGGTCTTTGACTTGGTCTATGATTCCCTGTGTCTTACTGGTGCATAGTTGTTTTCCAAAGCAAAAGATAAAATCTGCCTCTTGAATATGTGGATAAAATAGATTTATGTGAAATAGTTTGGCATAGCATATTTTCTTTTAATATTTTTTAATTGTTATAAGAAAAATTTAAAAAATTTCAACCCTCCCTTCCAGGCTGTAAGACTCTCTTTGTACCTGAGAAATATGAGAAACACAAGAAAAATTCCTTGAGAAATATATCATTTAGAAATAACCAGTGTTAGTACTTAGGTAACTTTAAGTTTTGTATTTATTTGGTGGTGGTGTTTTCTAGTTCTTGTTTGTTTTAGAAGGGTTTTCCTATACCTACTTACATTCTTTTCAACTTGTAAAAATCATCAGTTATAAATTACTGATACATTTTATAAGAATTAGAAATATATGGTTAGCATTATGGGTCTCAGTGGATGAGAGCAGTTCCTCTTACTATACGTGGGCAATGTAAGTTATCCATAGGTGGATATTAAAAGCAGCGGCAAGGTGTCTTCTCCTCTGTGGATTTGGATATTGACTTCCCTCTTTCAAAGAGCAAACTCAACAAAACAGCTTGATGAATGTGCTGCCAGCTAGATGATGGGACCTCCTTCACGGTGGCAGCTGGCAAACTGCATCCGTGGATTAAGAAAAAGAGGCCATGTGTGGAGCGTGGGTGTGTCCTATACTCCAGCAATTTCCAGCAGCCCGAATTAGCCTGGCCGTGTTTCAGGTTTCATCATAGTGGATTTATGCTGTTTCCATCAAGTTTGAAGTGTCATTCTACTAAGGAAGATTTGGCTTCATTTAACCATTAGAGCTGGTGGAATTCTTGAGCACCGTTGTATTTTACATGGTGACTGCCTGTTTCTGTTTGGACTATCCATTTCTATTCTACCAGAAAAGTAATTTATTGAACTGACTGACTCCAGAGAGGCTGTGAATGTGCAAAACAGTTGATGAGTGAGATTTTATACAGGGTCCTGTATATCACCCTTTCAATTCCTGCTCCAGCTCTGTAACTCTAGATAGTTATACAAAACAAAGTGACTGAACATTTAGATGCTTTGGTAGCTTTGCAAAAGGATGCTCTTCTGATCTTTTTCTTTGTTTCCCCATGCTTTGGCCTTGCATTTCTGCTTTCAGGATCTCCCAGACCGTTACCCTTTTCATATCGTATTGTAACTCAGGTCAATTTTCTGTCAATGTAAACGGTTAGGAGTAGCCTCAAGTGTTTGTTCTACACAGGGCGCAGTAATTTCTGTGCTTTCTAGAGTCTCCTGAAGCACTTGGTTCGACACTCTGTGGAGTGCCAATGTTCCTCATGAATGAGTTCAGACTCCCTTTGTCTTATCTCAATATGAACTGATGTTCAATGAGGACATGGGCTAGACAAACTTCACAGGGTACTGTATGAGCAAACCCTCACCACAGGCCTGGGATGCCATCACCACCATCTTCATTCTTACACACAGGTAACTGAAAGCATAGATGATCTCACTACTTTTACAAGACCATCCAGGACACTAGTGGTGGAGACAGGATCCAAACTCAGGAATTCTTACTCAGTATTGCCTACCTCTTACTACATCAAGGGAAAGAAAGGTACCTGAGCTTCCAAAGAAAGCCAGTTTTGTTTGGGCACATCACACACATTAAGTTATTATTATTCTTCCATTTGAAGATGTTCCCTCTGTTTATCTCTGTGTAATACCTTTCAAGTCCTTCAAAGCCAGGCAAAACTGCTTCTTTCATGATCCACATAGTTTGTCCTCGTGGTTGGAATTGAACCGACCCTTGAAAGTTTCACTCGCCAACTTCTTCCTTGTTGCAAATATCCATGTCTTCCTCCTTCCTCCTCTTTGTACTTGTTAGCCCACATTCAGTTGTCAAGTAATGCTGGCTTGCCCTCCATCAGTGCTGGCTTGAGCTACATTCAAGGCCTTGGTTACCATACCCTAAAGTATGAACTTGATCTAGGTGGCAATATCAAATTCTTTTTGGTTCTTGAGTGAGAGAGCTTATGAAATGAGGGGTTCTTTTGGAAGGCAAGCTCTGTGACGTTCTGTAGCAGTATTTTAAGGAAGGAAGTATGCAGGCAGAGAATGGGTAGGAGTTCATCACAGAACTGTGCTTTGCATCCTAAAGCAGGGAAAGCACAGTGAAGGAAAGAAGTTAATGACTGTATCCACCTCTGCCCATGCAATTTCCTGTTTCTCTCATTGCTGGTAGTCTCCCACTGCCTTTCTTCCCCTCCCTCTTGTCTTGGGGATTTTGCCATTTTCCCTGCCTCCCTGGTCAGTCCAGGTTGCTGGGAGATCAGAGGGAAGGGAAAGAGATTTCAGTGAGGGTCCTTCCTCATGCCTCAGCTGCCTTGCCTTGAAGATATGGTTTCCAAGATTTCCCCTCCATGCCTGCTTTACTTGCAAGTTTCTGTTTTCTGTTCAGAACTGCCTTCTTGCTGATACCACACAAATCTCTGCCCTAGCCTTTTAAAGCAACTCCCAGAAAGTGGATAATAGCACATTTGAATGGAGGAAGCTTTTTTTTTTTCTTTTGGTTTTTCGAGACAGGGTTTCTCTGTGTAGCTTTGGAGCCTATCCTGAAACTCGATCTGGAGACCAGGCTGGCCTCAAACTCACAGAGATCTGCCTGCCTCTGCCTCCCGAGTGCTGGGATTAAAGGTGTGCACCACCAACGCCCAGCCTGGAGGAAGCTTTTTACACGGTTTCGATTCTGTTCATGAATTGAATATGGCTTAGCTGTAGGGCATTTGCCCACTATGAGGTTCTAAGTTCAATTCCCCTCCAGTGCTGATGAAGAACCACTTTAAATAGCAGGGCTAGCTTAATTAGCCTGCTATTAAATAGCTAATTCTAGTTTAATTCCATTCCTTTCATGTTACACCTCTGACGAGAGCCAGCTTACTGTGAAGTTGGGAAGCAAGACCATCTTCCCCCTATTACCCCAGGACCTGAATGTGACTGTGTCCTCCTGGCTTGCAAACTAAGTTTATGCAAGTTAAAATATGATATTTTAAAAAAAGATTTAGTTATTATGTATACAACTTTATGTCTGCATATATTCCTGCGCACCAGAAGAGGGCACCAGATCTCATTACAGATGGTTGTAAGCCACCATGTGGGTGCTTGGAATTGAACTCAGAACCTCTGGAAGAGTAGCCAGGGCTCTTAACCTTGGAGCCAACTCTCCAGCCTACAATATGATTTTATTTAATTCATCTGGAAAGTGCTTGATCAGCATTCATACCATGTTTAATGTTGTTTCTATGGGAAACAAAGTAAGTGTGGAGCACTAGCCATGGGTATTGGCACCTTTTAAATGTTTCCTTTAGTCTTCTCCGTAACCTTGAAAGTAGGTGCTATTGTCTCCAGTGTTACTAGTGACATACTTGAGAGTTCAGTTATGTGTCTTGCCCTAGGCTGGTGAAGTACATAACCCCCATTCCATTTTCTCATGCCCTAACCAATAATCATGATCAATTCTTCCTCCTCCATATGGCATGCTCAAAGTTGAGGATTGCCTTATATAACTAAAACATTGGTATTGACTTTTTTTTTAAAAAAAATATTTGTGTGTCTGTGTCTGTCCATCTCTCTGTGCGCATGCCACATCTGTGCCAGTGTCCACAGAGGCCAGAAGAGGGTGTTGGATCCACTAGATCTGAGTTACAGGTGGTTATAAGATACCTGATATGGTTGCTGGGGATGGAAGTTTGGTCCCCTACAACAGCAAGCTCACTCTTTCCCACTGAACCGTCTCAGCCTCAGCCACTGCTGACTTATTTTTAACCTCACTGTGTTTTTAGAATTTAAATTTTATAACCAATAGATACAAAAGACCTGTATCGATAAATTTATCACAAACTGGACTCAAGTCTCAATTCTCTTACCTTGGCCTCCCAGGAATTTGGATTACAGATATCACTCCCATGCTTGGCAATGAAAGTATTCTTAGAGGAAAGGTGGTATATATTTATAGAAAGTCACCTGAGCTGAACTTATTTCAGAAATGTAGAATTTGAATTCTACCAAGCAGGCACTAGGGAGCTACTGGCAATGTAAATGTGGGTGTGGTGTAATCAGCGTGTTCTATACTTAGAGTTCTGGCAGCTGTGAGGAAGGAGGGCTGGAGAGGCAGGAGAGAGGTCAAATATGCCTCTGAACTATGA